GGCCGCTCTCCGCGCTGACGTCAGCGGGGCGGGGCCTGGGCGGCGGGGCGCGGGCGCACTCCCGAGGGGCGGAGGAGGCCCGGGGGTGAAGGCTTGGAGCGCAGCTGTGGTCGGGGGCCTGGCAGGACTCGAACTCGCACTGCGGTGCGGGACCGGCCCGTCTCTCCCCGTGGCCTCCGCGGCTCTGCGGCGACCCGGCTCGGGCCGGGCCCTGCTCCCCGTCCCCACCCTCCGGGGCGCCCCGAAGGGACCTGGGCTCTCAGCGGGGCCGAGATCGGTGGGCAAGGGACACAGGACCAGACCCGGCAGGGAGAGGAGTCGAGGGCGGGGGGTCAGCTGTGGGCTGGGTCCGCAGAGACCGAAGGCCTGGGCCCCGGCCGAGTCTGTCCCGAGGGGGTCCGGCGCCCAGCGGGACACAGAGAGGACAGGGGGGTTAAGTCTGGAGCCTGAAGGGAGGAGGCCGCGGAGGACCGAAGGGCCGCGTGACTGGGCTGTGCCGCTGAGACTCGGCCAACCTGGCCGGGATGGAGGGGGCGTCTGCCGAGGTCGGTGCAGGGTGAGGAAGGGACTGAGGTGGGATTGCCTCCTGGCTTCCTGTACCTCCCAAGGGGAGTGGAGGACATAGCGCTGGGCCCACGCAGGTCCAGGGCTGGGCCCTCCTGTTGTGGGACGTCAGTTTATTACCATCCCCGAAGCCGTGGGGAAGCTGCTGAGGTGAGTCATGCTTTACTAATGCTCGAGCCTCGGTTTCTTTGCCTGGAATATGGGAATATGGATGCCTCAAGATTGTCTGGAGAATTTATGAGGTCCCGGATGAGAAGTGCTTAGAACACAGTGCGAACTGTGAGAGCTAGACTCAGTATACACTGGGGCAGAGACCAGCCTAAGCAACATAAGGAGACTTGGTCTTAAAAAGCAAACAAAGAAAAAAATACCACTTTTTCTGTTGCTGAAAAGAAAAAAGTCAAACCCTACTTTATTCCAAAATCATAGCCAACAGTGAAAGGCAAACTTCAGAACTTCAGACTGGGGAAATGTTTAACAGATGATACAGCCAGGCATGGTGGCACACGCGCATAATCCCAGCATTCAGGAGGCTAAGGCAGGAGGATCACTTCAAGGGCAGCCTGGGCTACAAAATGAGTTCAAGGCCAGCCTAAACTGAATAGAGAAACCCCATCTCAAAAAAAGGAAGGAAGGAAGGAAGGAAGGAAGGAAGGAAGGAAGGAAGGAAGGAAGGAAGGAAAGAAAGAAGAAAGAAAGAAAAGAAAGAAAGAAAAAAACAGATGATGGATACTTTTATTATATAAATACATAAAATTCATAACAAACTAAGAACCCCCAAAATGGTCAAAGGATTCAAATGAAACACAATAAACCTGGGACATTTTCTATCTCACTAGTAATAAAAAAGTACAAATCAAAAGAAGAGGTCATTTATAGCCTTTCAAATTGGAAGTTTAAAGTATTGGTAATACCAAGGGCTTGCATGCGTGCTCCTAGTTTCTGGTGGAAATGACTTGCTGAAGACCTGTTGGAAAGCAATTTGGCAATGTGTGTTAAAGGCTTAAATAATGTCCAGGCTTTTTGATCCAAGAATTCCTTTCCTGGGAATCAATTCGGGGAAACAATCCTAAATTAGGACAAAGCTACTTCTCATATGTTCTAGGCAGGCTCCAGATGTAGGGGTTCCCTGCTGCCTCATGGTACCTACCCCTACTTTCTTATTCTATCAGGAGCAGCACCTCAGGATGTTCAGAAGTCTCTCAGTATTTACAGATCTCACTGATCTTTCTTGGCCAACACAGGCCTATTCTGAGGCAATGATCCTGTGCCTTCCCTCTGACCCCCTACATGCCTATACTGTAATTTTGTCACTGATAATGCTGGCAGGCCTGAAGGAGGATGTGTAGAACTGGACTCTGAAGTTTAAAACCCAGACTGACCACCAGCTATCTGATCTGACCCTTCCCCTTTTGGAAGCCCAGTTTCTTCATCTGTAAAATATGTGCAGTACTACTATTTATTCTGACATAGTGTTGTGGAAGCAGCAAATGAGTTAACTCATGTAAGGGGTTGGTATCATCCTCTTGAATCCTTTCAGAATCACTCTCTCTGGTGTTGGGGGTATA